AACATAAATTTCACGAGGACAAACGCCCAGATGCGAAACAACTATCTGTGGATCACACGAATAGTTGTCCCGTGTGGAAATCGAACCCACGACCCCCGACGCCGAAGCCAATACCTTGGCCACTGCGCTATGGAGTCATCGATAAAAACGCTAACGGGTGATTATTGAGAGCAGTATTTATTCGTTACGTATTAAATTGTGTGCAAGCCTTGTGAAAATATTTTATTGTGGTTAAAATACTTACTAATGACACTATAATATGTTATTCGCTGGCTTTCAGTTGTGTTGAAGTAGCAATATGATTATACTCTTTGGAGGAAAGAGACATTGTCCAAGTGAGTGGAACGTTCCTAGAAAAATAATTCACTCCTTCAGCCATTAATATCAAGAGATTTCAATAAGCTTATGCTACGTATATACAGGGGGGGCTTTTTGAAAGGTGCCTAAATTTACACAGGAGGTTCAGACTCGGTAGTATAATCGTTTATTGAAATAAAAACAAACTTTTTTTTTTTCTTAAATTGCCCTAAAAAACAGAACTTGTTGAAAAAGCGGTAGTCATTCATAAATGCGTCGTATACTTTTGAAACGAACTTGTGTGTGTGTGTTAATTATGCATGATCGCGCGTAAAATAAATAAATTACCCATAAATCACGCACTTTTTGAGATAAGTTCAAATGAATGTATTTAATGTACGAGTGATTTTAAACATTTATCATTTTTATATAACGTTATTTATGTCTTCGGCACTGCGGGATTCGAACCTTCTGGCGGCCAGACGCTTTACCATTTCCCATTTCATGTTTTATCATAATATCTATTTTGACGTATTCCATTTAGATTCAATCAATAAATTTATTTGATTTCAATCTTCTTTTGTAACAAAAGAAAAATCCTATGAGTAGCTAGGGGGACATTGGACGTGACGTCACAAGTTTTTAATTTGAGTCGCATTTCTCTTTTGATCATATATGCGTCTAGATAGGAATCTCGAATCTAGCTCTAACATGGCAGACTTCCTAGTCTGATGTTGTAGTTTCAGATGCAGTAAAATAGGTGTACTCGGATGAATCGCCATCTGTCAGTGAAATATTGCACAAACTTCTCACAACGAAAAGGCACGAAAGATTTTTTTAGTATAAGCGATTTAAATTAAACGGAATAATAATAATTCTTCCATCAAATTACTTAAAATCGCCATTACTTGTCCGTTGTTGCCCGTATAAATCAATTTTAAATTATTTTTTTTTCTCAACATTGTTCTTGATAATATTATTTTTTTCTATAAAATATAAAAATAATCAAAAATAGTCCTGTTCAATAGATACGTTGTGAACAAATATCAAGTGAATCCATTAGCTAGTTTTAGAGGTTAATAGACAAAAACATAAGGAAGCTAAATTTTTATACATCTTCTTCTTCTTCTTCTTCGTGGTCTTCATTGCTGAAGGTCGTGTCCGTCCTGAAAAATTTTAAAAGAATCGGCGATGAGCTGCCACACCACTCTATCTTCGGCTTTCTTCAAGGTAGTGGAAACAGCATATACATAAACATTATAAATTATCTAATACTTCAAAAAGTTTTACTTACATGACTTTTAAATAACTTGGACAGAAAAGTCATGAACAAGCTTCTCAAATGTTCTAAAACGTCAGAGATTGAATCTGTATTTCAAAAAATAAAATACAAACAATTTTGTATTACAAACGGATAGCTATACAGGTGAATTACGATGGTGAGCAAATTTCTCCACACTTAATCATTTTATTATTTAAATGCAACCATAACTGTAACATACACTCCATTTCCATCAATGATTATTTACGATATTTTCAGTATTTTGACAGAAAAACACTGCGAATATCTCGAATATGTATTATCAGCCATGTTTTTATTACCATCTTTTTATTTTATTTATTTTATACGTTACGACCCAAATATTTCGTTTACGTTCTTATAGTTACATTCTCTTCTGAATGAAGATGCAGTAGCGATACCAAGCTTATCAGGCCCAGTTACCTCGCGCTCGAGATATGTAAAATTTAAAAGTATACAATTCTTCTTAACGCCGATGTTACGCGAAGACTTGGAATCTGCCCTGACAAACCGGCTAATTCACTGAGCAGGCAACTACTAAAGCAGCCTCATATCTCACCACAGTATTTAAAACGTATATATACGTAAATATAATAAAAAAACATTTTAAAGTTAATGAAAATCATCCCACATGTCTCAGTTTTAAATATTTAAAATATTTAAGAAATCTAACATTATTTATAGTATCGGTATCTGGCTGAAGAATGGTGGTTTTACATACTAATAGTAATTTGCATCTACTTCTTCTGTTTGCTCCTCAACTATGTCGTCAAGAAAATAAACGGTGAGTTAGGCAGTACATATCGGTCCTCATTTTTTTACTTTTTTATGTGAGAAGGTAGCCAGGCCAGCCGGTTAACCTAATGTTAAGGGTTAACCACCGCCCTTTAACATTTGCAACACCCGTAAGGGTGCAGATGCGTTGCCATCATTTAATAAAATGGGTCCCGGCTGCCTCACCCGCCAGAGGAAACGCAGATGTATATTATAACACTTCCACTTCGGCCGACTTTCTGTGAGGTAGTGGTCTTCACACGGATGGATCTGCCAATTTGTGCAACAGCGAGAACTGTTGCGTGGCCATTCCAAATTGATACCTAAGAACATGCGGTTGTTGAAATAAGAAATATCCAGTCAAATTTGAACGGAGAAGATGGCAGATTGCAATCACTGGTTTGCGTTCCTAGAAATAGTAAAAATATAATCAGATCAAAGCACATTACTTGAACCTGAAATAGTTTAAGGGTTAATTTCCAAACAGAAAGTAGCTAGTAATAATATTAGAACGTCAAACACCTGTCTCTCCCGTGCCGATAAAGCTGCATATTCAATATGTCAGGAGTTTCAACACAAAATAAATGTGATTAAACTGTAAAGTAATTTTATTAAGAATGTATAGATACAGGACAATTTGGAAAGTCATCAAACTTAAATCTCTGAGTTTAAGATTGTTATAATATTGACTTAAGTTACTATTTCAGACGCAAAACACGAAGAAAGATTAAAGAAAATAGAAAGTAAAAATCCGTACAGTGCACTAGCATGCAAGGTTGGGACAGAATTTAAGAAAATTACTTCTAAGGGAAAAGAAGTCGAAAAAGATACACAAAAATCTTTGCATTGTAACAGAAGTAGTGATCATAGCGAAAGCCTAGATGATCATTCTAACGTTCCGTTTAATAAAGTAAATAATTTAAATAGTACAGATAATAGCATTTATTCGAACATTCCAATCGAAAAAAATAAATCACAAATGCAAAGCTTAATAAGGATGAATAATGAAAGGGAGATAAAACAGTGGTTATTAGAAATAATAAACAAGATTAAAGATTAAAGCCATCCAATTATTTACATTTCTAAAACAACCCTATTTTATTAAAAAAAGGTATTTTTCTAGACCGCATTGTCTTTGGTTTTGAGAAGTCCCCCACACCCTAAACGATGTTTCTATGATTATGAATAAAACTCATGAAAATACGGTACACATGGATATTAGGTGTCGACCGTGAATCGGGGGCTTAACGTTCACTGATAAACCAACCACGTTATACCTGTTGCTTATCTCGGTTATTTATTGGTCCGCCTTTATGGCATTGTCCTTGCGGCGACTCCTTGTGAGGTGGTGACGAAATAAATCAGGATGGAATAAATAGAATATGGTTATAATTTATACGGATGTTTTAAAGAAAAATTTTAAGTAAAATATTTTTCTTACTGTAATTACAAATCAAATATTACGTTAACTTAACTCTGTCATTCTGAATTTCTAGAATGTCTGTACTTCTTGACAGAAGTTATCTGTGTCAAATGACAACTGTTTCTGTTTTGATTATTGCTTATTGCTATTGGTTATAATAATTATTTCTATTTTCTAACCACTTCATTCAACCGCCGACTCTGTGTTTGCTGCAAAAACTTTATTTATCCTCTTTTTTTGTTTGACAATATACGTTTCTTAACACAAAAGATGAAAATAGTAACAACATAATAGGAATTGAATTTGTTGTACAGTAGTTATTTAGTTTTTAAGAAAGATGACTTCGATTGTAAAATTACACTGTCTTTCGGGTGCTGGTGATGAATCTCCACCATGTTACGTGCTTCAAATTGACGAATTTAAGTTTCTCCTGGACTGTGGTTGGGATGAAAAGTTTGATATGGAATTTATTAAAGAATTAAAAAGGTTAGAATTTTAGGTTATGTTTTCAATAACCAATTGTTTGTTGTGTTTTTTATATAAGCTAGCAATGAATAACGTGATTATATTTAACATACTGAATAAATGTTTTGTTATCTTCTGTTTTGAAAAATTTACTTTATTTATTAATAAAAAAAAATATTTTAGGCATGTTAATAGCATAGACGCAGTACTGCTTTCTCACTCAGATCCTCTCCACCTTGGCGCATTGCCTTACGCTGTCGGCCAACTGGGCTTGAACTGTCCGATATATGCCACCCTGCCCGTGTACAAGATGGGACAAATGTTTATGTATGACTTGTACCAAGCACATCGGAATGTGTCAGATTTTGATCTTTTCACGCTTGACGACGTCGATGCAGCTTTCGATAGAATTACGCAGCTAAAATACAACCAAAGTGTTGATATGAAAGGTATGTAGTCGTGAATGCGTACTGTGCAGCTATAACATTTGGTTAATAAATGCTTCAAGTTACTACTGTTTGGGTGTGGATTAAGGGTTAGCTCATAATGGTACCAAATATCAGAAACCAAAGTAAAGGAATTAAATTTAACGGTTCTAATTTTTTTATACAAATTTTTGATTTCTTTTATATTGATAAAATAAACAATCAAACAGATATTAAGCATTTTGAGAATTAATGTAAACTTAAATTATTTATATATTTTTGGGCTATTTTAGGACTAACTTGACAGGAGTAAATTGTAAAAATTTACATTATATACATACAGTTTAATTTACCTCACATTCATAGGGAAAGGCCATGGATTAAGAATAACACCAATACCAGCGGGCCACTGCCTTGGTGGCTCTGTGTGGCGAATTGTAGCTCCCGGAGAGGAGGACATAGTGTATGCGCCCGACTTTAACCATAAGAAGGAGCGGCATTTGAATGGTTGTGAAATTGAAAAGATAATGCGACCATCGCTGCTGTTGCTTGGTGCGGCTAATGCTGACTACGTACAACAGAGACGGAGGCTGAGAGATGAAAAACTGATGAGTATGTAGTGTTAAATTTTCATGTACTATAGTAGTGGATATTTTATTTATAGAAAATAGGGCCATAAGCTAGTCGCTTCTTTTGATAATAAGTAAGTATTAAGACCGCTGGCTTAAACTGGAGTCAAATAGCTCAGAGTCGACACCAATGGGAATCTTTGGAGGAGGCCTTCACCCAATCTGGGGTTCTTGCAGACGAAGGATAGAAGTTAAAAAAAAAAATTTATATTTGCTATACAATTATTTTTATAATGATGTATAATTGCAAGAAATAAAAGGCTTTTTTTATTATTTTTTTTTTTATATCAGAGCAACAAGTAAACGCAACACCAAAAGAATTGTAAATGTACAGCTGCCCTGTGCAAGAATGGAGACTTCCAAAATGGCCATCTAATAATTTTTTGCTTATGAGGTTTGAAAAGAGAAAAAACTAATATTTAGAAAAATTTAATAATTTAAATAATTGAATAATAAATAAATTTATCCAACATTACCTATTATAGAAGCATTGTTGCTATTAATTGTTTGTAGTTTTGATCCCCAATGTGACAAGATCATCAACACCTCTTCCAGCAACTATCTTGGGCACTCTTAGAGGCGGTGGATGCGTGCTAGTGTGCACTGATACCGCGGGACGGGTCCTAGAACTAGCTCACATGCTGGACCAACTCTGGCGCAACAAGGACTCAGGCCTAGTCGCTTACTCTCTGCTTCTACTCTCCAACGTCAGCTACAACGTCCTGGAGTTTGCCAAGTCTCAGGTTTGTTGCACACAAACTGAAACTTCCTAAGATAAAACTCATAGTTATGAAATATACTGCTTTGAAATGTACCGACCAGTAAAAAATAAACAGAAAAGAAACTTATTGATTGTCACTAAACACTACCACTGTTTTGGAAAAAAAGCCTGAGAAGAACCGGCGAAAGAAGCTCAGTGGGGCATTTTTTTTTTAAACATAGTTTAACAAACATATTATATAATATATTCGATATTCCACTTGACACAGCCTGAAGCATTAGTTCATTTCCAGCATGAGTTACCATTTAAATAATCACTAATACTATAACAGCCCAAATGATATTCAATTGACTTCACCGCTCCACAGATCGAGTGGATGAGCGACAAGCTGACGCGCGCCTTTGAGGGCGCTCGCAGCAACCCGTTCGCGCTGCGCCACCTGCAGCTGTGCCACTCGGTGGCCGAGGTGGCGCGAACTCCTGGACCGAAGGTGGTGCTCGCCTCCTTCCCCGACCTGGAGGCGGGCTTCGCCCGCGACCTGTTCCTGCAGTGGGCCCCGCAGCCCCTCAACTCGATCGTGCTCACCGCCAAGTAAGATGTACCGGGTTGAGAGCAAACAGGATTGGATATATCAGGGTCTTATCAGGGAGATTTACACCTTCCTTTCTCCACTTTGTCTTATCGTTCTTTGTCAGAACCCTGCCTTTCATGTCGCTCTTAATAGACCTACATAGTTTCTTTTAGTATTCCATGCCCTTTACCCGGCTTATTGAGGTTGGCAATCGCATTCATAGAGGTTTAAGGCATACTATTAAACTTCCTTGAGCCGTAATAGCTCAGTATTGCTCACTATTCATTTGGTATATTCCAGCAACATAGCAGAGAAAATACATTGTTCCAAATATAAGTAAATATGAGTTCAAAATATCTCTTTACAGGCACCAATTAAATTGTTAATTGTAAATAACCACGTGCGCAGTCAATATATGTTAGAATTTTACAAAAAATATTTATCTAAGGTTTATGAGTTGTCAATCTGTGCAAATTACAGTGATTAATTGAAGTTTCTTACCGTTTATGCATGGGTTAAAACCCAAATAAGAGAGTACATATCTGGCTTTCACACAAATGTGAAAAATAATTATTTCGGTATTGATATACGCTCAGCCGACTTATGCCCCACTGGAAATTTTTAGTAATATTAAAAAAATTAAACAAACATCACCTGAGCATATTGGTTCCATATTATCCTGTTCTATCCATTCTCTTCGTATCGTTTAGGACTTCGCCCGGGACTCTGGCGCGGGACCTCATCGAGAAAGGCGGAGATCGCATCATCGAGCTGACGGTGAAGCGCAGAGTGAGGTTGGAGGGCGCCGAGCTTGAGGACTTCCTGCAGCAGCAGAGGACGAAGCTGAACAACACCGTGAAGTGGGTACCTTTTGAAGCAATACTGCTGAGGAAACATGGGAATGTAACAGTGCGGTGATTATTGGAGACGTGATAAATCAGTTTGCGATAGCTCAATTTCATTCATCAGAATGTACTCGAGCGACCTGAGTTCAATTCTCGGTGCCGTCATCAAAAAAATTGGTAATTTCAAGTGCTCACTTAACACATGTTCAGCGCCGTAGTAAAAAATCGCGAGGAAATCATCTTCTGCCAAAAAGAATGTTCTAGTTCTTTCGTTTGCTATAGATACCCGTGGGTGGCGGTAATCATCTGATATCCAACCGCCTGCTCGTACGCCGTCTTCTGGAAGAAAAAGAACGTTCTAGATCTATGACTTGTCCAGGGAGGAGGCGGGCGGCGTGACGTCAGACTCTGAGTCCGAGGGCGAGCTGGAGATGTGGGTGGTGACGGGGCGGCACGACATCCCGGTGCGCCGCGACGCTCGGCCGTCCGGCTGCTTCAAGAGCAACAAGCGCCACCACGCCATGTACCCCTGCCACGAGGAGCGCGCGCGCGCGGACGACTACGGCGAGATCATACGGGTGAGCCGAGCAATGCTCGGGTCAGCGATCCCGAGCGATCCTCCTCCTCCTCGAAAAATTCTGGATAGGCTTATGGGAAAAAAAAAATGCTCAGCCCTTACTGCTGAGTGCAGGCAACTCCTCAATCTAAAAAAAATGTGCCCTTACTCCTATGGATACCGTACTCACCAGTCGAAACACAAAAATATCCATTTATGCTGGCTCTCTGTACGGAACTTCACTGGATGAGCCTGGCCCTCCGTAATTAATATAATAATATGTTTCTACTGAGCTAGCACGCTTACCATCAAAGGCTGCATCGCCACTTACCATCAGGTGGGATAGCAGTCAAATGCTGGCCAGTTTTGACTTAAACAAAAATGTGGTGACACATTGTAATTTGATATTGTAGACGAACGCCCCGCGCCCCGCGCCCCTTACAGTTTGCAGTGCAGTACAGTTCACCTGAATTTAATCGAGTACTAATACAGAGCTTGAAAATTCCAGCCAGAAGACTACAGGCTGGCGGAGGTGGTGGACGCAGAGGGGGAGATCCGCGACGTGCCCCCCGCGCCCCCTCCCAAACAGGAGCCCGACGGTGCGTCCAGCCCCCAATCATCATCGTCATCATCGTTTCAGCGTCTTCGAGTCCACTGCCGAACATAGGCCTCCCCCACAGACCACCACGAAACACGATCTTGAGCCACCAGCATCCGTCGACTTCCCGCCCAATTGGGCAGGACGTCATTTCATCTAGTGGGGGGTCGACCTACACTGTGATGGCCAGTACCCGGCTGCCACTCAAGAATCTTTCATACCCATCTGTTATTGGTTCTCGGCTGTCAGGGCGGCTCAATGCCTCAAAAGCGCGATTAATTTGTTTTGTCCACATAAGAGAGTAGCAAAGTGACTACCATATTTTTATATGTTTCGTTAGAACACACTTTTACATAACGTTCTTTAGACCTAAACTAAGGAACGCTTGTACTATGGGTACTGGATAAATGATAAACATACTTTTTTTTTTCTAAATAAACACCCAGCCACTGGAAAAACAACATGTTCATCACATAATATTTTTCCAGTAGTGGGGATCGAACCCGCACCCTCTGGCGCAAGAGGCAGGTCCACTGCCCGCTACGCCAATTAAGTCGTCTCACAATCTGTTCCCCGCCCCGCAGAGGAGATGCTGGAGATCCCTAGCAAGTGCGTGTCGAGCGTGCGCGAGGTGGCGGTGCGCGCGAGCGTGCAGTACATCGAGCTGGAGGGGCGCTGCGACGGCGAGTCGCTGCTACGGCTCGTAGCGCACGCCAAGCCGAGGGCGCTCGTAGCGCTCAGGGCCCGCGAGCACGCCGCACACACACTCAGGTCGCTACGCCGTTTCAGTAGCTGCCCACACGCTTGGATCGCTACGCCGTTTCATTAGTTGCCCACACGCTCGGGTCGCTACACCTTTTTTTTTTTTTAAGTTGCCCATACGCTCGGTTCGCTACGCCATTTCATTAGTTGCCCACACGCACAGTAACAGAACTTCAATATCTCAAAACTAGCTCGTAGGAGATGGCCTAATTGACTTTATATTAATATGACTTACTAAGTGACATTATCACTAAATTTCAAGCTTAAATTAATATTGCTATTTAGGTATAGTCTACAATTCTAGACAAATACTTAAAATTTAATAACAGTTTAAATATTTTATTATATTACCACACTAGTTTTCACCATTTTGACAGTTCACATTTTTTTACAGTTTTCACATTTTCAAAGTTACAATCGGCATTACTAATAAAGTATTACTTCTAAACAGAAAACACTGCGAGAGCGAGGGAATCGAGAAAGTGTTCACGCCGAACAAAGGTGACATAATTGACGCGACGACGGAATCCCATATATACCAGGTAAATTGACACTTATAAAATTTTAAAATATTTAGAACAATTTACGAAAACTTTCGTGGCTGCGAGGATATGGGGTACGCGCTCGACGCTCTAGCCACTGATCTAAACGGCATATCTTCACACTGACGAAAAATTTCAATGTATTTGTCTATTCCATTTTTATTTCGTTTTAAGAAACGCTTGATGCCATCTACTGTTTCCTTTGCTTAACAGAAAAATATTATTATTCTTTTGCCTTTCGTCGGACGATTGAAGTTAACCTCTTCTGAGGGTAGTGCACGAGGCTATAGTAGAGCTGTGTACATGCTTCTGGTGATTTATTTATTATTCATTTAGGGATCGAAACTGTAAAAAGACCAACAAGTTAAATTAAAAGAAAATGGTCTGTTTTCTTAATAAGTGTAATACTTCTATATTGAATAAAGATATTTGAATTTGACTAAAGACTCACATACACTCACATATACAAAAGAACAGGAACTGTGCTATAATTTGTTTCCCTTGCCGACGGCAGGTGAAGCTGACGGACGCGCTGATGAGCGGGCTGGTGTGGCGCGTGGCAGGGGACGCGGAGCTGGCGTGGCTGTCGGCAGCAGTCGCCGCCAGGGGGCGCCCCAGAGATGCGGACGCCGGTGCGGGATACACTTGTCTATCTATTTTTCATCCTCAAATCAAATAATTTATTCATCGTCAAATATACATTTCCATTTATATTTCTTAATTCGATCTCATATTTTGTTATGTGTGAAGGTGGAATGGAACAAGGTGACGTTTCACCCGATGATAAGTGATAACCGCCGCCCGTGGACATTTTCACCACCCGTAGCGTTGCAGATGCGTTGGCACCTTTTAATAAAGCGGGCCCCGGCTACCTCACTCACCAAACGAATGCAGAGGTTATAACACTCCCACTCGACGCCGGTCATCTGAGAGGTCGCGGTACTGTCCATTTGCCTCATTGTTACTCCGTAGCCGGCCGGTGACGTCACGCCCGAGTCGGCGGAGAGGCAGTGACGTCACCGGCCGCGATGAGCGACGTCGCCGAAGCCGTGGCGTGCCTGCCCCATTGGTGCTCCGCAGCGGGTGACGTCACGCCGTGTATCGGAGGCCGTGACGTCACGCCGTGTATCGGAGGCCGTGACGTCACGGGCCGAGATAAGCGACGCCTCCTTCCGCAGAGGAGAGCGCGGACGACGAGCTGCTGTCTCTCGAGCCGGCGGGTGGGGGGGCGGCGGGGGCGGGGGGCGGGGGGCTGGTCGGGCCACGCCGCCTCGTTCGTCAACTCGGTGCGGCTCTCCGAGCTGCGGGCGGCCCTCGCGCGGCACGGCCTCCCCGCCGAGTTCAGCGGCGGCGCCCTGGAGTGCTGCAACGGCACCGTCGCCATACGCCGGGTGCGTGTCGGAGCGGGAGGCGGCGAGTGGTGCTGCATAGCTGCGTCCCTCTCGCTCGTAGCTGCCGAGCGCTTGGCGCGCTTTCGTTTGTCCCTTTTCGTCGTCGCTAGCGAGCGTGTAGCGTACTTATACTTTCTTTTGTCTCTTTCCCTCGACGCTAACCAGCAGGACAGCAGGATGCATTATTTTATCCCTTTCCCTTGTTGCTAGCGAGCGGGATAGTAAAATACTTTCTTTTGTCCCTTTCTCTCGTCGCTAACTAGCGGGACGGTAGGAGACTCCCCCTTTGATTGTACTATTGATTAAAACGCGCACAGATTTTTCGACATTTTTTCTACACATTTTAAATGGTGCCTATGTAATGTCTTATTTAACAGGTGCTCTCAATTTATGTTCTTAATATGTATAGTATTTAAATATTTCTGGGCTCTGGTGAAATTACTATTTTTTTTACTTTAGATTTAAAGTAAATAAGTTTTCCTATGTCGATATACAACCCAGATTATAGAATGGAACGGCTGTACGAATATCGCTGCGTCTCTTTCACTCACTGGCTCATTCAGCCGCTGAGGATAGATCAACGCCGCGCTCACAATGCGCATGTAAAAGCGTGACAGTGTTATACAGTGATCGCTGCGTTTCTTTCTGTCACGCCCACTGATAAAGAAATGCACCAGTGGCAGTCTTAGTTACTAGATTTGTAATAGAGTGAGACGCAGCTATGCGGCAGTCATTCCACCTCTCTCACGCTCACTAAGCTGATAAAAATGGCGCGGCAAAGGTCACCGGCGCCATGCTCAAGCGAGACAAACCTATGTGATAGTCATTACATCTCAATCTTGGGCTGCTGTAAATACTTCAACCGTACTGGCTCCAATAATAAATACCCTCAAATCAAATTAAAACACATAATTTATTTATTTACATAATACCAATTTTATTTGCACGATGTTTGTTTAACAATCGACATTTTTCATCAACTTAAATGTAACATAGTTCGGTTCAATGGTATTCTTTAATAGTTATTCCGCCCAGTATTATATTGCACATTTACGCTTATAGTGATATTACCAACAAACAGAACAACCATTTCTAAAGATATTATTTAATTGAATAATCTATCGCCGTCTTAGCGACGAAACGGAACCACTATTTCTGAAAGTACCTACTAGTAAATTGAAAAATTAAATGTCTCATTGCAGTTGGAGAACGGCCGCGTCGCTTTAGAGGGCGTACTATCAGAGGAGTACTACAAAGTGAGGGAGCTTTTATACGACCAGTTCGCTATAGTATAGCAATGTCCGCTTGCTTTGCTCAAAGCTGCGTTCATATATCGTGCAGTTTTTTTAATATTGTGACGTGCGTCATCAAACCGACATCGTTATGTACTTTCCCGAACTATTAATTATTGTGCAAGTGAAATATGAAATGGATTTACCATCCGAACTCCTTTGTATATAATTGGTATTTAAATGTAGTGAATAAATCTTTATAATCTTATCGGAGTTTTTTATTTAAAAAAAAACATCGTAACGCCCTCTCAAAGACCGGCGTGTAGTGTGTAATACATACGTTCGCATTTCGCTGTGTGAGGCGGCTGGGGTTATATTTTTTCTCTTTGGCAATCAGGTTTACTTTTGTTTTACTTTACTTTTGTAGATGTCCATCGGTGGTAACCACTGAACAGATGAACAGCTTGTGTGCCACATTATTTGTTATTAATATTATTTTAGTTGCATACACCCAAATGAAATTCAAATGAGTATTTTTTGTATAGGTTAAGTTTTTGGCGCTTCTGGATTCGAATCAGATTACATCAGGCGCGAAAATTCGACAGCTTTGTACTCGGTGCTTTTTAGGCGATGCGAATTTACGCCATCTAGCGCGCATACTTTACAACATGTCAACATTTCAAATAACATTTTTACGCTGATTATTGAACGAGAGATGTCGCCTTTTACAATTGATTATTTTAGATGATTCGATGAGAGGACTTCGGCCGCTTAGCTCATTTGGTTAGTGCGTTACGCACAAGATCTAGGTTTGAAACCAGCAGCGTCATAAATTTCTCGCTACTTTATCTCCAAAAAATTCACATTTTCAAAAAAGAATCCATATTTTGTACGGAGGATGTATAAAAATATCTATCCAAAAAAACTGTGCTGTTAACAATCACAAATGTTTCTCACCACGACATACATAAAGTTTTATTAAAAAGTAAATTTACTGTAGTGTTTTAAAACAACTGTGGCTATATTACCGTAAAGCCGACGAGACAATTAAAAAAAAATACAAAACTTCTCTCCAATTTCTTTAATCAAATTCACATATTATCTTCGGGACCGGTTGACATAATTATAAATAATATTTATCTTATAAACGAATGTACTACAACCAAATGTTCGTCGAGCGGACGCTGCGCTATTGCTCGGCTATATCAACTTACACAGCTACAGGGTACAAAGTACTACTCTATTCATGGCCTCGATTTTCATAAAATCTACACAGCGACGATTTGCAAAACATTACACGATATCCCACCACAGCAGCATCATCGCACCAACAAATAAGTCCCAATGTACGGAAGGAATATTTTCGTATAGAAGTTTGGTACTTCAAATAATACAACAGAAATTTAGGAACTATAAAATCTCATAATCATACACTGCGAAACGGCGGTGGAGCGATTAAAGCGTTTAAACACAAACGTACACAGATATCGCGTTAAATACGAAACCAAGAACCCGCAACAATATGGGTAACACAAATGTGAAACGAAATAAAACACTTAACACCTAATCTGGCACATTGCGATTTTTACAGCACTCATACCCTGAGACATTCCCGCCCCGTAGCTTTAAACATTAGAAGAAGAAAAAAAAAACCATAAATAACATGAATATTCTTAACATAAGAATAACTAAAAAAAAACCTAGACCGACTCCTTGGAAAAACTTTATATGTATATACATATCATATATAGTTATAAGCCTTTACCTGTTGATTAATTTAAAAAAAAAAAACATAAAAATTAATTGTTATATTTTTCAAATCGATTCCATTTATATAATTGTCAACAGATAAAAAACAAATTAATTTATCAAACAGTACATATTACAGTATAGAACTTTAATAATATATAAACGGCATCCACACACGAAATTAGAGTCGACGACGTAAATAACATGGCTTATATAGAAACGAAAAAACATCCAGAACGCATCCATAAATCAATCTCACATATCGCCCAATTATCAAAGACTTGTATAAAAGAAAACATCAATTTGCAAATGTCGAGGTTACCGAATAAGCTTAATTAATAATCAACAAATGTCATGTCACTGAGATTTATGTGAATAGAGAATCAAGATATATTTTCTTCCATTTTTTTATAATGATGTCCATAACAAGAAATGAGTCAATTTCACATTTTTATTTATGATTTTAAATTTTTATCTTTATTCTGTTTCTGTTTTAGGTCGAATTTAGTAAAGGGTAAATACTTTACTTCTACAATCGGTTCGGGGAATTGTATGAAGAGTTTCAATTCCATTCAACAACGCTAGCGATTAAGTCTAAATTTGGGATAACCTTTTATTAAGGTATCGTAACGAAATAGCCGATATAGAAAGTAAGGTATAGAACAGATAGTAGAATACTTGGAGACGGATCTTTAACTGTCTTATGAAATTGGGCGACATCTATGGTTGCAGCCACACTATCTTACATTAAAATATACGTATCCATTATCGTAAGCTATTGTTTATGTATTGGTAACAGGTTTTGAGGTATTTACGATCCGTAATGCCGTTCCACCTAATATAACAACTTCTCTTTCCCTGTCTATGAATATATATGGCTCATCTAGTAATACATTGGTACGTCTACATTTTCTTCTAATCACACAGAAAACAAGATCAAACACTTTAACAATTCTGTACAACATTTTGGTCACAAATATACGTCGCTATTGATAAAACTATCTCACATATTCGGTATACAAATAGATAAATTTCATTATTTTTTTTAAATAATTATGATAAATAATAACTCTATATTTATGAATTGTCACAACGGTGGTGGAACGGCTTATAAAATAGATTACTTCGACGTAGCAATAAAAAAAATACGACTGTCATAAATAAGTCCTCTGTTCGACAATCGGATCTAAAGCGCATGATCACTTTAGAAATATACATCTGAGTTGTGTCCACGATCAATATATTTTATCATAAATAGCACAACCAATGTACAGAACGGGCGTCGGGATCGAAATCTCAGCTCCAACTAGGAAGCCTAGCTAACCCTGAGTCTGCTTTATGAGTCAAATCGAAAGAAATTTACGCCCGGTTTCTGAAACACCGATCACCGTAGAAGTTAACTAATCAGCTGTCAAATGGCTTTTCAAATGTCATTTGAGCGGCCAAGAGCACTGTTAAGCTCTCTGAATTGATCAGAATGATTTTCTTTATGATCAGAATGATCAATTCACATAGTTAAACCATCCTTTTGGCCAATCAAATGACATTTGAAAAGCCATTTGACAGCTGATTGGTTAACTTCTACGGTGATCGGTGTTTCAGAAACCGGACGTTAGTCATAGACAAATTAGGAAATAAGGAACTAATTATTTACAATGACATCTTCTGCGGGATTAGTTAGACTATTTCCGCTCTAGAAATAATACAAAAAAGGACAAAAAAATTATAAACAAAACTATTTTTACGGAATTGACGCTGCTGTAGGATTAAAAACGACGCAAATTAAAATTAAAAAATCGTTAAAAATAGTATCATTTACTAATATGTAGTAGGTAACGTAAATATAAGAAATTATCAGAAAAAAAATAACTAATTTTTCGCAACTCCGCCTTAGCGAGATATTCGGATTCCCTAAACCCAATACAATTCGTGGACAGTTTCAAAACAACATCATCTATATGTCGAAGTGCAAGAAAGATCATGATTTCGAAGAAACAACGAGTTATATCAGTTTCCTAAACCAAAGAGCTTAACTGTATTAAGGGAAAGCTATGGCTGACTGAACCATAAAACAAGAAACTTTCAACTAATATCGGTAATTTGAACATGATATCTTTCATTAATACATTATGCAACTATCTTATTAGTGTTCTATCACATTGACATTTCAAGTACTCTCCGTGTATATTTATTTAAACCCAAGCTAGATTTTTGTTACGGTCAACCAAATAAACGGGTTCGAACTGGATATGAGACTGCTACGATAAAAATCGCAAGTTAGAAGGCAGTGGACAAGCCATATCGTGTGTGGTAAATAACGCTTTGATTGTTCGTTGTAGAAATAATCTATTTACAATCTATCTCGACCCCGATAGGTAGTCGGTGTTTTAGAAACTGTACATTTTACATATTATATAAAATTTCACCACGCATCTAAAACGTCTCTTAAATCGCATATTTATAATCTGTGTATATATGAAAACAACTCCAAAAAGGGAACTACGTAACATAGACAATTAGTCGCTTCGCTAATAACGAGGTATTGATTGGTATTGTGTTGCGTGCATCCCGCCAACTGTGAATAACCGCCGGGCGCGTAATCCCGAAACTTCGGCGCGGTCGAACTAGACGTACGTACACACATATATATATATATATATATTTATATTATACAAAAATAGCAACAAGTTTGTACTAGACTCGTCCATCGTTTTGTACATGCACGGCGCGGGGACGCGACCATACTCGGGCGCCGGAATCGAACCCGCACGTCCGCATCACAGCCATTATACCACAGACCGAAACACCGTCCACCAGCAACGTCACGCAACAGCCCATTCGCGAGTGTGATGTGCCCATTCGCGAGTGTGATAGTAGAGTCGCGGCCCCGCGTCTCCTCCACCGTTCGAAGGCGCCTCACAGTGCGAGCTGGTCCTTTTAACCGGATACAGCCAACACTACGGCTCTTTTAGCCGAACAGGGCCCACTCTACAGCGCGCCGCCCACTAGCGTTGGCTATTTTAGCCGGACAGAACCGACTTTACAGCGCGCCTCACATTAACGTTGGTCCTTTCAGCCGGATAGGGACAACTCTACGGAGCGGACGCTGCGTTCGCGAGGCGGAAACGGGTGCACACTAACGCCGGCGTGCTCACAAAGTGTGGTCGAAGCGCCAGGATCCCACTGCGGCCGCACGCTGTGGGCGTGGGCGTGGGGTCGACCGCACACTGGCGCCGGCGCGCTCACACGATATCGGGACAGCGCTGGAGTCCCACCGCAGTCGCAGTGCACGCCCGGTCCCGCTGCGGCGTGGGCGTGCGAGTGGGCGTGGGCGTGGGCGTGGGCGCGCCGCCTACCGCAGGCACGCCTCGAGCATCTCGACGAAGAGCTTGTTCATGGGGGCGCGCCGCTCGCGGTGCACGGCCGCCCAGAAGCGTCTCACCGCCACGTCCGCGTGCCGCAGCGCCGGCAGCACCAGCAGCAGCTGCTGCAGCGCGGCGTTCGCGTTGTACGGCCTGCGAATGAAAGGGCCATTATATAAGTTTCACTTGCCCAGTTGCCCTCGACGGGTTAACTCGTCCGCAGAAGTACCACGGCCTCGGAAGACGGGCGTGAAGTGTTTAGTGTTGTTTGGGATGGGGCGGAGCTCGTCCGGGTAAGTACCGCTGCCTCGGAAGGCTGGTGTGAAGTGAAGGTACACTTTCGGGGGCGTTCTATTGTTTCACTGTTGCACGGATGGGCTGGCTCGTCCGTACGTTCGACTGTGTGCAGTACACAGCGTGAAGTGGAAGTATTAAACTTTCGCGTTTCGTCTGGTGAGTGAGGTAGTCAGGGCACTGAACACTTACATCTGTTGGTTCGTCGTTTTTATTACTCGATGCGCAGTTGCCAAACTCAGCTTAGGTGCCGGGAGTCGAGGGTACGGATCCCGCTCGGGGTGAATTGTTTCTAGGTGTTTATTCATTATTTATCAAGAAGCATTGATGTCAGGTGGCTTGTGCCAGCCCTTCTAGGGGAGATAAGGGGAGGAGAAAGAAGAAAAAAGAAGGGTGAAACATGATGTATTATGAAAAAATTCTGATTGGGCTATCCTAAATTCTACTACACACCTACGCTAATGTTGAATGTTTGTAGTAGTTACAAATCCATACTACTAACATTTTTTTCTTCTCAGTTACAGATGCAGCTTTATCGAGACCCTAAAATTGAAAGCACATCCTTCCAATAAACTTAAGTGAGACATCGTTCGATAAGACAAAGATGTGGCGCTACGTTTACCTGGACGCTACGCGTTCGTAGCAATACCCGTAGTGCGCCTACGAATCCGTAACGGTGTTGATGTAGACCCGTAACGGCTTCGCACGGGTGCAGTGTATTATACATATAAACCTTCCTCTTCAATCACTCATTCTAGTAAAAAATCCGCATCAAGATCCGTTGCGCAGTTTTAAAAATCTAGGGACAGACAGTCAGCGGGACCACTTCGTTTTATACTATGCAGTGCCTAACTTCGAGAAGACAACTTAACCCAAATTGTTTCGAATGATTGGGTGTTCGTGAAATTTATGTATGTATAACGTGCTTACAACACAAAATAATGTAATCCGATAGTCAGGGTGCACTGTTGCCGAAGGGAAATTGGGAACTTACAACCAAACTAGTCATTAAGGTCTTCCCCTCCCCTATTGTAGGCAGGCAGTTGGCGGGGTAGGGGGCGTCTCACCTGAGGGCGGCGACGGCATCGTTGAGGGCGGCGAGGATCGTGTCCCGGAAGCGGCGAAGGGCGGCGTGCTCGTCGAGGCGCGCCTCCGAATTGGCGAGCACCAGAGCCTTCAGCAGGTAGCACTCCTCGCGGAGCGCACCAGCTCGCTCCAGCCTCCTCGCCACTCCGCACACCTGACGAACGTAGTTGTCTATTTATTTATTTGCCTATATTAACGGTCCGGCAGCGCACCTGTGACTCTTACGATGTCAGGTGACACAAGCGGGTAAGGGTTGTTTGTCTCCTTTTACCATAATAAAATTTTATTAATTTTAATAAATTTGTAAAAAAATCGGTGTACAAGATATGCAGGTGATGTCATGGTGAATTTCAACATGTAAGGCTTACAATAACTTATTTAACTAAAAATTATCTTGTATTTTTGAGAAAAAGAGAGAAGTTACAAATTGCGCGAAACGAGCCATAACCACCATAGACGAAAGAGACCATAAAAGTTTAGTGAGCGAAAAAGGCCATAAAACAGTGGTAAGCGAAAGAGGCCATAGAGGTGTGGTGAGCGAAAAAGGCAAAAGAGCGGAAAAGGCGAAAGAGGCCAAAGGGGCCCACCTGCAGGTAGAGGTCGAGCGCGCCGATGTCGCGCGCCTGCTGCTCGTCGAGCGTGAGGTCGGCGGCGAAGCGCAGCCGCAGCGTGGAAGGCGCGCCCACCGGCGGCGCGTTGCCCGGCAACGAGCGGTACGCCAGCATCAGGCTCAGCATCTCCGCCCACGTGCTCTGCAGCAGCCGCATCTGCGAAACGCCGCTCTCACATAAGGGGTGCATACTTGTGTAAAGTGAAAAGTTACAGCCTATGAATGTCCCACTGCTGTGCAAAGGTCTCCTATGTGCAGAGGGGAACAACAGGGCATAGTCCACCACGCGACCCCACTGCGGATTGGTGACATTTACAAATCTTCGAGATAGTTTTGTTTATTATTACGAAGATATGCAGGTTTCCTAACGATGTTTCGATGGATGTTTTTTGTCAGCACCGAGGATCGAACTCGGGTAGATCGAGTGCATTAAATTGCATTAAAAATGAGCGCCCGGAAATTGAGCTATCACAGCTCTCTCTTGAGCTATCTCAGCAGCAGAGGCATCGCCACGTTGAAGAGTGGCGGCGTACAGTAGGCGAAGCGGAGTGCGCACCTGGTCGTTGAGCTGGAGGTCGGTGAAGCCCGGTATCTGCTTCGCCCACCCTATAACGCCGACCAGCTCCTTGTCGTAGAGGTCCGCGAGCAGCGCGAGGGTCCTCGCCGTGGGGTCGGTGACCCCGGCGGGGAGGGCTCCGCAGGTCAGTAACTCCGGCTCGTACGACGACAGGGCTTCCAGGACCTGGAAATTGGTTCGGGATCCATTGACAGGTAGGGCCACGCTAACTGTGGTAGGGCCACGCAACAGTTTCGGCTGTTGCATGGGCAGGTACCTCTGCTGTGCCAATTGCACCGGCACAGCACCATATAGAAGAGGAGGCCCAATGAGATCATAGTCGCGCCGGGGTCGCGGAAGATTGCATCCACGTGTTCACGTGTCCCCGGCCGATGCGATAGAGACAGGTGCGTCGTGGGTTTTTTAGTGGGTACCCTTTTACGTGACTCCCACATACCTCTGCCACTCCCCCGATCCAGTGGCAGGGATTTTTCCCGCGAAAAAAAAAATTATGGCTTATTAAGGAAAGAAGGGGATCTTCCGGAGGAAAGGAGATAAGAGTAGTAGGACATAAACGATTATGGCCAGGGGGGGGATAGCGATGATTAAAGGTAAGGAGATGGGAATATAATGGTGGGCATACGCGACTATGGGCAGGGGCACAGCGGACACAAGTGATCGAAGACTCCGGCCAGGAGGATAGCGATGATAGCTGCGGCCTTTGCGAGTGTGGAGGAAATAAGCGATTGCGGGAAGTGGGATAGCGGAGGCAAGCGGTTGCACAAGTGGCCGGTGTAGCAGACCACTCGCCTTGATGTCGTCGAGCTGCGGCCTCTGCGAGTGGCTGGGCGGCACGTCCGGCGCCCTCCTGTACTTCTGGCGGCCGCCGCGCACCCTGTCCAGGCGGACGCCCTCGCGCAGCATCCCGGTGCGCAGGCACTTGCGGAACCGGCACGCCTGGCAAGCCTTCCGGCGGCGCTTGTTTATCTCGCACTCGTTCGACGCGGGGCAGGTGTACTCGATGTTGCCCTGCGAATTCTGCTCTATGTGATCTCGGGCGATGGCTTTTTCGCCACACGAGTGGACTACGCGCAGTATTCTCTACGGAGCGCCGCACCAAGCGGTGTCGAGTAACTCTACTTTCCATAGAGCTGTTGATCGAAAACGAAACGATCTGTCCATTTATTATAACATGTTATAATTCATAGAGGATGTTATAATAAATGGACAGATCGTTTTCAATTGAAGAAAAATTGTTCAGTTCAAATCTCTCAGCTTTTCTTGATTGGAAACCAAACTTGTATTGTATTGTTTAGTATTTAGTATTGTATAATTGTTATTCTTATACACTATACATCTGTTCACCTACCTACTTTTTTCCACACATATGCCATATAGAGCCGTGATAGCTCATTGTCCGGTTGCTCACTTTTAATTCAATATACTAGAGCAACCTGAGTTCGATCCCCGGTGACGGCACCAATCAAATAGTTAATTTCAAATGCTGAATTATTAAATGTTGGGAAACAGCGTGAGAAAACCTGTATATTTTCAAAACAATAACAAAAAAAATGAAGATATGTAAAGTCCGCTAATCCGCACTGGGGTCGCGTGGTGGACTATGTCCTAATACCTGTACAATGGAGGCCTTTGCCCAGCTGTGGGACATTTATAGGCCGTTGTCCACGCGCCTTACCCCACAAGGATTTGTGGTCTTACGGTGGTAGGGCCACGCAGCAGCCTCGGCTGTTGCACGAATGGGCAAGCTCGTCCGGGTAAGTACCACGACCTCACAGAAGACCGGCGTAAAGTGGAAGAATAACAAATACTTTCGCGTTTCGTCTGATAAGTGAGGTAGCCGGAGCCCAATTTCAAAAGGTTATCAACGCATCTGTAACCCACGGGTGTAGCAGATGTCCATGGACGGCGGTATTCACTTTACATAGGTGAACCGTCTGCTCGTTTGGCAACTTTTCAACGCAATGTTAAAGTTCATAACTCTAGTAGTGACGTAAATTAAAACACGTTTTATTGTTTTTTTTTTTTTTTCAGAGGGTAATCCGTTCTTTACGGGACTCCCACACACCCCTGCCACTTCCCCGGTCCTTTGGCAGGCAGGGGGGGGGATCTGTAGAGAATTATTCCAACAAAAAAAAAAGGGTTGTCACCTGTATGGTCCGCTTGAAGAAAGCCTTGCACGCCTCGCAGCTGGCCACGCCGTAGTGGAAGCCGGAGGCGACGTCGCCGCACACGAGGCAGTAGCGGCGCGGCGAGTCCTCGTCCCTGACGCCGCCCGCCGCGGCCGCTGTGGTGGTCGACGAGCAGTGCTGGCGCTCGGGGCTCGCGTTGCCGACGCCGCCGGCGGGCGAGAGGCTGAACTTGATCTCCTCCTTCGGCTCGAGGTCGAGCTGGACGGGGCGGGGAGGGGGGGAGGCCTTGTTAGTTTTGTTGTGTAGCGTTTATCGTTAAGCGGTTTTCCAACAAGCTGTTAGGAAACAGGAGGCTGTGTCCGTTTTCTACAACGCTTTCATAAATAAATTACTTTAGTGTTACACGACCCTGTGTTGGAAGGACGTTTTATAAACATAAACTTCATTGGAAAAATACCTAGGTCCGAAACAATTATCTCTCGGTCTCACAAATATTGTTCCGTGCGGGAATCAAACCCACAACCTCCAGCGCCGAAGCCAATAACACCTAGAACTGCGCCACGGAGTCATAACAAACTGTAACTTTTGATAATCACTTGATGGACGACCGCTAAAGAACAATTGCTGCGGAACAACTGCTTAAGTAGAACCGCTTCGAACGACAGTAAACAACGCTACAATACTTACCCGTGGGTGACCTTCACAGGGTAGCTTTCAAATCAACTTATACACACACAAAATAACTCGCGATACGCAAAGACAATTTCAAATAAGTTCCCTTTAACTTATTTCGAAACTCGTTCTTAACACCCAGACGACGTTTGGACGTATACCCACCCAACAGAGGCGAACGAAGGCTTTAAACGAAAACGCGAGAAGCCACCAAGGGCAAATAAATGGCTTTCCGTTACATAAACGCACGCGAAGCGATCGCACCGATCGATAGCCGCGCGAATTACGTGCAAACGATCGGAGTGCATCCGCGCGTCCGGAATAACACCCCGCCGCGACGACCCAATAACCCCGATGCAAGTCGACGCACTTCTCAACACTGACGTCCACAAACGCAGCATATAAATTGGCAACTTAAACTCTCAATACGATCGCTTCGTTAACGTACAAGTTTTAAATTCGGCGCACGAAAACTAAGATAGACGCGACGTGGCGAGACCTAGGTCCTAAATGCGGGCAGAACGCCGCTCGCCCCGTAACCTATTTATCGATTTTAGGGGACGCGGAAACTGCATCCCGTATATAGCTCAGTGGAGCTCGGGGAATGCGCGAGTGCGCACTGCGCTCGCCGTACGAAGGTTGGTCGCTAACCGATGCCCCTTTACCTACAGACGCGTCATACGCCAACATTTTTAACTGTGGTAGGGCCACGCAACAGTCTTCGCTATTGCACGAATGGACGGACAGGTCACAGTAGATCGGCGCGAAGTGGAAGTGTTATACTTCTGCGTTTCGTCTGGTGAGTGCGGTAGCCGGGGCCGGCTTTGTTAAAAGCTGGCAACGCATCTTTAACATTGTGAGATGCAAATATGATGGCGGCGGTTATCACATTTTTTATATGAAAAGTTGTTTAGCGAGCAGGAGGTCCACAATGTTTAATGAGTACAGATACTCATCGATATCGACAACGCCCGGATGGCTCGCTGATGCGTTGACAACCTTTTAAACTGTGCACCCCAGTTACTTCACGCAACGGACGAAACGTGAAAGCCTAAAACTTCCACTTTAAGCTAATCTCCTGTGAGGCCGTGGAGGCTACCACCCCGGAGGAGCGTGCCCATTCGTGCAGCAGTAAAACCTGTCACCCTACCACAGTCAAAGTCGCATTGCATCGGTGAACCACCAGCTCGCTCGCTATCTTACACACTATTAGAGAGAGATGGATAACAGCGAATTAGACCGTATCCGACCGCGTGTTGAAACCGGCCAAAAGCCTCGATTACACGCCGTAACGCATCTATCCGCGCTTTGACCATATCCAACCACATGTTGAAACGGGCCAAAAGCCTCGATTCCACGCCGTAACGCACGAGGCATCTATCGACGCGTTGGGCGTTACCTGTGGCGCGTGCACCATTTGAACGGCGCGCTGCGACGGCTGCTCTGCGTGCGCCTCGGGCGAGTACTGGGGCGGCGGCTCTGCCTCCTGTTTGACGCGGCGCAGCATTGGCTCCCCGCTCACCGCCGACATCATCTGCACCTGCAACTGTGAGTGCTCTAGATTAAAACGCATTGAGCGAGATCGCGCTAGGGACGTCGAAAGTGAGGACATATACCGATATTTACAATAATAACGAAGAGAAAATACCGATATAGTGATGTCGCATTTTTATTTACATATTACACTCGCTTATTGATAGTCAAAATAGTACCACCGATTCGGAAAAGAAAGCCACTTTACTGAGAAGAACCGGCGAAAGACACTCAGCGGGCAAAGATAATATAGACTTTAACCCTATGTCCCTACAAAAAGATATGTCCAGTATTAAATATTTGACACCTACGGACTCTGTGCCGAATTTGAAATTGAAAAAATATAGTTTTTGATACGATTTTGAATATACAAAATATTCAAAAAATCGAAATATCGATATCCAAATATATCGGCTCCATCGTCCAAATACATCGACATATCGATATTTTTTCGGCATCCCTAGAACGCGCCCAATGGCCCGCGTAACTCGAAATACCCGAGTTGGGTCACTAGTGCGTCTATCTGCTAAAGGGGGCGGTTATTGAGCAGGAACCGTAGAAATTACGGGTGGTCTCTCATATTCGCGCACGCATTAAAGTGCATCGTTTTTATTTCAACCTAGAAGACGATATTTTTCTTCTGAATGATTAATCGTTAATTGATCGTTGAATTTCAATGATAAATTATATAAAATACCACTGGAAAACTAATAGCGTTTAAACATGCAAATTCTGTTATTAAAGTGATTAGACAACGCTTCCGTGTGTCTTCGATTGAGGACGCGATGTCGCCGACAATCTATTTTATCGTAATACCATGGTTCAGAAAAAAGGACGTATACTGAACGCGAGGCAATGCGATTGTTTATTACGTTCGAATCATACATGGGCCTAAACGATTTCAGAACTTGTTGCCGGCGTATATTTGATGCATTTTACGATAGAGATTCTATCAAATCGTGGCTTAGGAAAGGCAAATGAGGTACTGTAATAATGCTATTAAATTCACCGATTATTTCTACAACCATTACATCGCTTTAATATAATAAAACAAAAATAAAGAAAGACCAAGCGCACATATAGAAAATAATGCGGTGACAGTTAACTTTAAAAGAGAAAAAAAAAACATAACTTATTTTTTTTATTATTCGGGCTAATCTCTGCACCAACTCAAAATGTTAGATAAATTATTAAAAAAAATGCTGCTGTCCGCAACTACGAATGCGTAGAATGGGCTGAAGGCGTAACATTCAGACAATAAGTACACAAAAATATGTATATAAATTATTTTATTCTGATGTATAAGCTATATTATTGTAAAGTTTCATTAAAATCCATTCAGTAGTATTTGCGTGAAAGGGTAACAAATATCCATCCATATATACAAACTTTCGCCTTTAAAATATTAGTAAGGATATTTCTCCGATATCAGGATTTGAGCCTTGGCCTTCGCGATTACATGTCCAGACGTTCTAGCCACTAAGCTGAGCGGTCGATATTCTCCCCACCCGTAAATCTCGACGTCTTACCAATCTATTTTGTTTTTATTGCATTTGTAGCAAAACGTCGCACCATCTAATAGTTCCCTTACATCAAACGCACACTCAAAGTACATTTTTACAATGAATAATGAAAACTAAATATGTCAACTAAAATAAAAACATAACATTCTTTAACCTCATATATTATACTAGCTTTTACCCGTGGCTTCGTTCGCATTGGAGCCCTTAAGTAAATATAAAAAAATATATATTTTAATTTTTTTTTAATAAAAACAATCCTATGTCCTTTTTAATAACTCTAAGGATATGTGTACCTTTTTTGCGTGACAGCGTAACAATCAAACTTACATTCACACTTATTAAAATATATTATAATATAATATACATTTATATTTATTGCTTAGTTGCTGCTTAACAGTGACTATCACAAGCCGTCTCAGTGTCAGCCTTTAGGTTATATGCGATTATATTGGGTCAGATTCACCGAACAACGATATATTCGTCGCGAAGAGCAATATACAGTGAGTAAGCCAAGCAGAATCGTTGCTCCTGTGAGGGATGGTAACGGAACGACAACGTAACGACTACGGGACTGCAATATCACTTGATATCGTAGACCGCTTGCTCGTTTGCCACCTCCCACAAAAGAGGACTGACTTTTTTATCACCAATAAGCATGGTGACCCACTCACCTAATGAAAAAAAGTGAGGTAGGTAAATGCACTGACTCGGCAGAAGTAAATTCGACATATGCAGATTTTAGTCCACAGAGTAAAAATACTTTTATTATTTCTAATATTACGTACAAAAATTATGAGTATCAATGTTTAGTTTTTTACTAGTATAATATCCATTACGCGAATAGATGTGAATATATGTAACTTGCATTTATTAAGTTAACTGAATGTGTTCTAAATTTAATGTAATCTATATTTGTAAACCGTGCCGGGTAAATACTAAAAAGTAAAAATAAAAGTTTTATCCAATGATATTTCATACAATTTACGCCAAACACTCAAATTACGCCAATTGATGTAATTACACTGTAACTATAGACTGCTATCTCTTTCCGTATCATACGTTCTATATCATCTGTCACATTCACTTATATATGTCAATTGTCATATAATGTAAAGCGGAACAATTTTTAAACGCCGTACAGTTTGGTGTCGTACACATAATATGTTACCTGTTGCAATATTATTGCAAACCAAAGCGATCATACTCACAGGGTAACATCTCGATGCGGCGCGGAAACGAGCGTAATGCTACAAATCGAACACAGATGGCGCTGATTTAAATTTAAATCTTTTTTTCTAATAGGACAAATGCGACGCAATTTCAGCTATTTTACGAGATTAAAATAGTTCTCGTTCCCGCCGTCTTCTAGGGGCACGTATCTCTTCCCGATCTATCCGGCTAACAGTAGAAGCTGACGCGTATCTCTACCACAGACTTATCTTTATCCGAACTTTCGATAGGCGAACACAAATAACGTGGTTGTAAAATTATGCCCCCTCATTTTACACAGTTTGTGACCGTCGTGAAATTGTATTATAAATAAAATACTGAACAGCATTTAGTACCGAAACAAAGGACAAAGCGTTCTTTAAATATGCGTTGGCGAATACTTTCAAGAAAATCACATTTGGTTTTGTTCTTACGAAATAAATGCCTATTCAATGGTGGTGGCGTCATGGGGTCACAACCCCTAATCAGCTCCTACAGCCCCCACCTCCCCAATCCTACGATAAAATCTTAGCACCGCCCAACCTCCTCCCCTACTCCCAGTCGCAAACAAAACTCCGACGATAACGATTAGTTTAAAAATAACTCTTTATTAAATTAGATATGAGGTAGACAATAATTATGCCTACATGGAACCAATGATGTGTCTTAAGGTCTATTACTACAGAGCGACTCGACTAGTGAATAAAACAAGGTCAAGTGATGTCATTTTTGAGCGCAATAACTTCCGTGTGAGTTTTGAAACTAAAACACTTAAGCGATCGGAGTACAAAGCGATCCGGTCTCATGCGCCAGAGGGTGTGGGTTCGATCCCAACTACATGTAAAATACTGTGTGATGAACAAAGTGATTTTATATTGTCTAGATGTTTATATATTTATATGTTCGTCAGTTTCTAGTACCCACAGTACAGGCTTTCCTTAGTTTGGGACATAAGGTTGTATAAAAATATGTCCTTAAAATAGTTATTTATAGTTCATTTTTACAATTCATAATGCATGAACCAAAACTATCATTATTTTAATTAAAATTTTGATAAATTGAATTTTTAATTAATAAAATTTTTCGTCGAAAACCCGTTGCAGTCGAAACCCCGTTGCAAGCTTTTGCAGTCTGACTGGCTGCTCAAACACACACACAAACAAATTCTTTTTTTTTAAATGTGAAACTTTTCACACAATAAATTCTTTTTTTTTAAATGTGAAACTTTTCACACAATAAATTCTTTTTTTCTTAATTGTGAACATTTTCCAAAAGAGTAGGCGGTTCACCTCATGTTAAGTGAATACCGCCGCCCATTGGCATCAGCTTCACCCGAGGGTTGCAGATGCGTTGACAACCTCTTTAAAATTGGGCTCCGGCTACCTCACTCACCAGACGAAACGCGAAAGTATACTTCCATTTGACGTCGGTCTTCTGTGTGGTCGTGGTACTTACCCGGAGGGCCTGCCCATACATGCAAGCCGAGGCTGCTGCGTGGCCCTACCACAGTAGAACTTTTGATTTAAATTATAATTAACATTGTTATTTAAATCAAAACTTTTGACGTAATCGCGTTTACATTGAGTTTTGTTCTGATTAAGACATTTCGCTACATAAGTATCCACTTGTGACACCTGTTGTCGTTTTGAATTCGTTAAGTCATCGTTCAGTAACGAGTTACGATTCTCAGTTATTTCCGAGACCCTGACACCGATCCAGTTGAACCGCGCGCCTCGCGGTGTGCGACGTCAGCGGGGCGGCAACATCAATTGCTGGAAACGGCAACAGTTTTCAATTACGCAGGCCTAGGGGGTGACCTTATACTCTGAAAGGGCAACGTTCGCAGTCGAAAAGGTTACTCAGACGAAAATTTATTCGCCGATGTAAAGGATGGCCGATTTATGCGATAGCTTCTCAGTATATAATTTTTCTAATAACGATTTGAAGTATGATGGTAACTCGTGGGAAAATAATTCGATACAGGTTTTAAAACCGAAATATTACAGTTATATAGTTAATGTGAAGGATATTTAACCTCCTGCATAAGTGTCGTTCAACACATTTCATATTATACTCCTAAAATCTATTTTCTCTCTCTCTCTCTCTCTCTTTTTTTAAAACGAGCTCACGGTTCACCTGATGTTAATTGATAACCGCCCATGGACATTTACAAACCCCGTAGGGTTGCATATAATATAAACATCTACTAGTTAGTACGCATTAGAAAAATGTGCAAGAACAAGAGCCTTCTAAAATATGCACAGACTAAATAAATCCCGCCAAAAAAAAGAAAACTAAAACCCGACCA